ACTGATCCAGAGGGTCAAGTTGTGTTTGGAGCAAACAACTGGCACCAGCAGTTTGTTGCCACTTGCAGTACAGGAGTTCCTTGTGCCATTACATGGAGCACTGGATACTCTCCAGACAAGGGAACATTTCCCACATGTTTTCCAGTTTCCCAAGCAATGCCTGGTGACTCGGGGGATTTTGTGGCTGCAGCAGGATACAAAGAAGTGTTTCTCTCTCAGTAAGGATTCCTTTTTGTTAGGTGCTTTCTCTGGGACTCTCAGCAGTACAAATACAAACTTGTATTTTCTGCTCCCATCCCCACTGCTTTAAAGTTGACACGTCGTGACAATTAAGAGCTTGTAATACTAAATATCTTTTTGCAAGTAGCTTAAATACAAATGTAGAAATCTGTGTTGAAAGCAAAAGGCAATTAGCCTAAGTTTCGTTTGCGTAAGTAGTACTTTATTTCCTCCAAGAGAAAGAAGTTCAACTTTATACTCTTAAGTCTTCCCAGTTAACTTGTAATCTCTTAATCCTGGCTAATATTTCAGAAGACTATTCAAAGATGAACTGGAACTTGGAAGCAGACTTTCTTTTGAAAAGCCACAAAAGGTCATGAGGGTCAAATAACACTAATAATAAAGTCTTGCCGTTGTCTTTGATCTAAAGCAGACACAATTTAAAGAAAAAAAATCGAATCTATTTAAAAATAGTATCGAAGTTTTCTTCCTGAAAATTAACCCTTCAGGTATTGAAAGTTACATGAACAGAGCAGAATGATTTATTTTGGCTCTATACAGTGAGTTATTCTGCTTTTGCTGTATGAATATCTATTGCCTATGCTGAGAGGTGGAACTGATTGAGAGTTGCTGCTCTGTCAGATGGTGGGAGCAGCCTTTGAGCAATGGTTTGTGTTTGTGTGTGGGTTCATACCCTTGCCCATAACCTGGGCTGGCAGTTGAGGGCCGTGCTGTATGATTTGTGTAGAGTGCAGCGACAGGAAACACTTTCCAGCTGGGGTCCATTGCTGAGGGCATCAGAGGGGTATCCCCCCCTGAACTACAGCGAGGTGGAAAGAGAACTCAGCTCTGTGATGGACTGAGCAAGCACCAGCTCAGGAGTAGGGCTGGGTTCAAGAGGTTACAAGTGAAATGGTTTCTCCTCCTGCTGCCTCCTGAAACTCTCCAGGCAGTCCTTCTGAGTGGAGCAAGTGGTTTATCCCAAAGCAGCAGTTTGTTTTCTCATCAGAATTCAGGCCTGGCCTTGGATCAGCCCAGTTGGTGGTAGAATGGAGAGAGAGCCAGACAACAGTTTTGGCTTTTGATACACTTCCAAGTTGCTTTTGTATCACCTTTATCGGGGCTATGTTTGTGTAACCACAAAGAATTGAAGAAACTTTGCATGGCTGCTGGTGAGCTCTGAGGGGGGGTGGGGAAGGAATCAAAGCTGGTTTTGTTGAGAATTTGTGACGGAAGCTCCATTGTGCTGCAGCTACAATGCTGATACAATCACTGTGAGTGGTGAATGTATTGTCAGGGATCCCTAATCTCTGACTGCAATCAGCAAAAAGAGGCGACATTTATTTCAGTAGCATGAATTCAGTCAGTGGGGTAAGGAAGGAATGAGCAGGTTTGTACTTCAGGGTGGACACTTGGTAAGCAAGTACATACCTCAGAGTATTATGGGTATGTGTTCAGGCCTGTCAGACTGGCAGTTCTTCAATTCAAACACACTGAGGACAGCAGAGAGCTCCTGAGTCAGGGAGAATTTCCAAGGAGCTCAGCTCCTCTCCCAGTGACTCTTCCTGGACACAGCTGCTGTGAAGGACAGTGACTGTTTGGACAGTGCTCATTATCACCAGCACAGCACTGTAAGGACTCTGTTTCAACAACACTGTGTTGCAGTTTAAGGTTGATAAGTCTTTGTTCCTGGCTGTTTGAGGTTCCAGAGACAACCAGCATGACATCTCTAGGAAGATAAGTTTGTGTGGGGAAACAAGAGTAACTGTGTTGATAAAAACTGTCTTTCACATCATATCTCAAAACATTCAGTCTGTTTTGGCTGTAGAGGAAGGTCTGGTGCTTCCTTTGATAGGGCCTTGGGGTAGTTAATTCTTATTGATAGGCATTTCTGTCAAAAAGAAATGAAAATCAAACTCGTGATGTGTTTTCCTTTAGCATTCAGCAGTCACAAATGCATGCTACCCTAAAACCTTCAGCTGAGGAGTTTCATTTTTGTTTTGTATGGTTACTTTCCCCCTTGGCTTTAAAAAGATGTGGATCCCTTCTGTAACACGTATCACTGTCTACTAACTTAGGCTGCCTCTTAAATTCTTAAATTTTAGAGTCAAAGACTAATCTCCTACAGGCCTGCAGTTACCATTCTTGGATCCCTATATGTTTAAAATCATTTACATGAGCAAAGATTAAGGGGTTATGATTTTCAAAGATGCAAGGTGGTGGCTGGAGGTTGCTGCTGCCAGATTTGACAGACAGACTCAATGGCTGCAAGAGAACAGTCCTGAAGATTTCAAGTGTTAGAAGTCAGAGACAGCTTCTTCCTATCCAGAGTAAATAGGACTGCACTCAACATGAACCCCATCTTCTTTGGGGGTGTGTGGGGAAATGATATTTAAACCTTTTAATTCGTTTGGTTCATCCATCCTGCATTTCCAGAGTGCTCCCTTCAAGAGCAGGAGGTTCATGTGGGTATTTTCTGTCGTGGTATTTTTTCAGCACGAGTGGGTGTTGGCTCTGAGCTGAGACATGGCTCTCACACAGGAAGCTGAACTATAACCAGTGACAAAGTTCTAATCAGAAGGTTGGAACCAGAAATGTTTTTATTTAGTTCAAACAGCTTGCTTGCTTTGATGCTGTCACACATAATTTCCCATAGAAAGGTCTCCAGAAATAGTGTAAGAAAAAAAATAAAATAAAAATAAATCTTGTGATACTTTCACTGAAAAAAGTCAGTGTGATTCCACAATTGGCATTTTTTCACAGTCAACAGGCATTTCTCTTTGCACCTCAGTTTTCTTGGACACTGAAAAAAAAATGTTAATCTCCTCAAATGTTGCTAAATATGTGTGGGTTTTTTTTCCATATGTCCTGCCTCCCACCTAGAAAATTTTCTTGAAACAGTCAGCCTTCAGCAGTAGTAGTTTGATAATCACACTTGTCTCAAGAGCTGGTGCTGCCCAGCTGGTGGATCCATATTTGCTGTCTTTAAACTCCCAAAGTGGAATGTGCATTTAACTCCAAATACATGCTCTTCTTTTCCAAAGCTTGTCTGTGCTTTAAGTCAAAGTTTAGAGCCATTTCTCACCGTGCCTCTGCTACTGGGTTAGTTGGTGTGTTATATCTGGGGCTGCCTCTGTCAGAGGAACCCCCAAGAGCGAGAGGAGAGCTGTGTCTGTTCTGCTGTCTGCACAGTTCCCCATACCAGCTCTCTTATGCCCTTTGCTTAGACAAGTCACTCTTCTTTCCTTACACCTGTCATTGGACCAAAATATTTGCTCAGGTCTCTGTCAGAGGGTTACAAGATGTGTTTGGATCCTTCAGCAAGCACTGAGGGCAAATCAAACTGTTCACTGTCATGCCCACTGTCGCTGCTTTCCTGGCGCTCAGCTCTCTGCATTGGTCTCCTGAAGAAGCTGATGTGGTTCCTGCATCCTGAGCATCCCAAATAACTCGGTGGCTCTGCTCCAGTGGGTTTGGTCCAGGCTGGTTCCACAGGCTCGCTGCAGCTCTGCCCTGCTCCTGCAAACACTGCTTTAAATTCTGCCACTCTGGGCTTTTGGCTCTTGCTTGTCTGTGCACAGGCACGTGTGATCTGTCCCATTTAATCAGCTCATTCCAGATCTACCCTGACCTCAGTGGTTTCTGGTGATCTCATGTAGATGCTGCTCTTTAATGAGGGTCTGCTGTGTTATGAAAGGTTGTGCTGAAAGTTAGAAAAAATAAGCGTGTTCTTGGAAGATCAAATTCTCAATTACAAAGTCTCAGGGAGGGTACAATGCTTTAAAACAAGTGTGTAAAAATAATCAGACTATCAGTTGTCACCTGCAGATCTCAGATTTCCAAGAAGAAACCAAGGTCTTGTAAATAAAGTGTATATGGGTAGATGATCTGTACTCTTACATTGTATGAGTTTGTTCTTTCAAATATTCATCTACTTACACCAATACCTAAGATACTTAGTTTGTCTGGATGTTAAAACTGGAGGGACTCTTTTTACCTTGGAACAAGTGCATTTTGGTGGATAAGAACAAACTTGTCCTTTGTGGTACAGAAAACCTCTTCTCCTTCAGGTTTTCTCTCTCCTACACAGGTATCATTTGCTTTTAAGGATTTGTTTTCACTTTAAAGATTTGAATTAGGAATTCTATTCTTTCCTCCACTCTTGAATCCTTGAACAGGCACTACACGATTAGAAACTCTTGTTGCCTTCTGCTTTCTCTTCTCCTTCCTATTTATTTCACTGGAATGTAACAGCAGGAGAAGCAGAAACCTAACCCTTAACTTTTTGTACTTTGATATTCCATGCAATTGTGGAGAACCTTTTAACAGAAGAGGAAGTGTGTGTGTGTGTGCATGTTTATAGAAAGAGGATGTGAAAGCAATAGTGCTGGGATCCTTTGGGAGGGAGCTGCTGGAGAGTTTTGAGGCTCTGCAGATAACTTGGTGATCTGCATTCCATTGCACCACAGCCATGTTGAGTTCTGCTCACATTACAAATTCAAACAGATGTTAAAAGAATTAAACCTCCATTAGATGAATTACTGTAGCTCAAAGGTACTTCCCCCCCCCCCTTCAAACATCTGGGGTAGGGCTTTAGGTAGAAAATTAGTAATTTGGTCATAGCTAAGCACAGATCGAAGAGCCTGTGCATCTACTCACTGTGGGAATTGTGGTGTGTTTTCTACCCTCAAAGGTGGACAGTGGAGAGGGTGACCATCACTGGATTAATTGTCCTGTCGAGTTTGCTTTTTAAAAACAGGAGCTTTGTTCTTTTTTTGCAGCCACTGATCTTCTTTTGGCTTGGAATCCCATTTGCCTGGGCCTGGTAGAGGGAGTCATTGGTAAAGTTCAGCTTCACACAGGTATGTGGTTAGTTCTGTTTTGATGTTGGGGTTTTTTTCTGTTATGGTTTTTTAAAAATTTATTTTGTTTACTGCTAAATTTGTGTTAAAGTCTGTGGTATTACAAATAATAGTGCATAGCTCAAATGGAATGCTGTGGTATTTATACACTGGAGGAGTACTCCCCAAAAAATGAACTTGTCACAGTGATTATATTATAGCTGCAGGTGCAAATTCCCTCTCTTCTCCAGTCTGTGTGTTTTGGTTTGACACTGGCATGTAAAAAATAGAGAACTGCATTTGCAAATAGTAGAAACTTGTATTTGAGGTCCTATCTGAGGCTCAGGGTGAGATTTATAAAATTCTTAAGCCTTTCTGAATAATCCTTTCGAGGAGATTCTTGTTGTTCTACTGTGGCACAGAAACTAATGATGGAAGTTTGAACAAAAGTGTAAGGCTTGAATTCTCAATGCTGCATAAAAGCCTGAAGCAAAATTGCTACGTTGGTAGATGAATTTTGGAAAGCAAAAGGAACACTTAAATTTGTTTGTAGGTAAATGACAGAGCTATAAAATTAAAGCAGGTGTAGAATTCATTGTTATTTTAATGATAAGCCTGTTTCTAACTGATAGTGGTAATGTTTTCCTGTAAAATAAGGTTATCAGCTGCAAATCCCTGTAGCCACAGTAAGTATTTATTTTGACATATAGCAGCTGACACTTGTGCCAGTGGAGCTCTGGCTGGCTGTTTGCTGGCAGGTAGGAAAGGTAAGCACGAACATTTGCTGTGTGCCATTCTTTGGTGAGTGCTTGGACCTGCATTTAAAGTGGTGCCTGGCAATATGATCAATACAGGTAAAGTTTCAGCTGTGTTCCAGGAGAGCAGGGTGTGCTGGAATGGATCAGATGTTTGTGCTGTGTTGAACAGAACAGATGAGTCAGGGTGGCAGTGTCACGCTGGAGAGCAGGCACTGGTACACACAAACAGTGTCGTTGGTCAGAGCAGTTCTGGCAATCACAGCTCCAGAGTTCAGTGAGCCCAGGGCCTGTTCCTGACAGTGCTGGTTCAGAGCCCATCTCTCCTGGAAGTTCACCATCACATCCTCTTTCCATCTGCACCTCTCCATCTTTGAATGTCACCTGATATTTCTGTCTGTGCTCGTTCCACAGAGCTGTTCACCCACCCCTTTTCAGATCCGCTGACAAGAAGTCCTTCAGACTCTGCCATCTCCCTTTCTCCTCTCTTCACCCAGGTCCTCTGTGCTGCTCAGCATGTGCTGTCCATGATGAATGGTGGCTGAGCTCCAGCAGTGACCTCTTCCTGCTCTGGGGAAATGCTCACTGACTGGTTTTGGCACGTGTTTGTGGTTTGTGTGGGGTGTGGTGGTCTTGTTTTTTAAACCAAGCCCTCGGGTGCACAAAAGCCTTCCTCCCCTTCTCTCGAGGGAGTCTGGTAGAAAAGCCTGCGAAGGGGGAGACCTCAAGTGCTTTTTGGAAGGTTTTAGTTTATTGTTTATTGTGGCAGCTGAATGTCCTTGCATGTGTGCTTCTTGTGAGGTGCTTCCTCTGCTTATGAAATCTGAGTTGAAACTTTCCCCAGCTGTGACACCGGAACAGGTGTCAGCTTGCTGTTGTCATGCAAATGAAGGTTATCAGGTAATAAGCCTGATATCTGCTCTTCTTTCCATGTGTCCTGTGGAGAAAGAGAGCCTGCAGCTATTGGTCCTTCTCTTCAGCTGCCTTAAACTGCTGGCATGTGCTGAGAGGTGTTCTCTGTCAGGTGAACACAACGAGGGGCTGGCTGAGATGCCTCACAGAGATCTCTTGGAGCCTGTTGTTGTCAATAAACTCCCACTTGCTCATATTCAAGTGTGGTTTGATGTTTTCCTCTGGCTGAATCCTCCAGTGGTCTGTAACAGTAACCTGTCTTCATTACTTATTCCTGTCTCAATCTTTGTCACCCGGAAACTTTATCAGCAGGAGTTGTATAAATATTTAACCTTGCTGGACCATTATCTGCAGACTTGGAGCACTGTGCTGCAGGAGCTGGGGGAAATGTTTTTTTCACAGACCTGACCTGCAACAGGAGGACTTGCTGCTCTGACTTCTTCTCCCCTGCCCTCAGGTTAAGATCAGAAAACTTAATTTGAAGTTCATTGGTAAACAGGAGTCCTGTGTGGACCTGTCCTGCTCAGAACCCTGTTATTGGAAAGGAATATTGATGTGTTTTAAGAATGCTCAGCACATACTGACTAATGCTGGAAAATTGAAATGCCTTTTTGGGTGCTGAAGTTGCTACCAGGAAAGCTGTCACTAAGCCTGCACACACTTCAGTGTCTTGGGCACAGATCCTTCCATGCTCTGGAAAGATGTGCTCCTGGCAGAAATGCTGGAGTGCTCTGACACACCCTTGGAATGTCCCTGCAAGCCGTCTTGGGCTGTCTAATTCACCACTGAAACACCCTTGCCAGTGTACTGTAACTAGGCATGGGATTTAATTGACTCTTAATCTGCAGGTTTTATTGCCTGCCTTGTGCAAAAGAATCTGTAGGGCAGCTTCTGCCAGGGAAGCAGTCTCATAGGAACCAGCAAACTTATTCTTTTTAATTCTTTAAAGAATTTTTGACATGAGAGAGTCAGTTGTACAACCCAGCATAACTGCACACTCACGCTGGAGAGGAAAGTCTAGTGAAAGTACCACTTGGTTCTTCCCCAAACTGAATTTCCTTAAACGTGCAGATTCTTGGGGTTTTTTTGTTTGGTTGGGTTTTTTTTTGGGGGGGGATAGGGGGAAATTCCAACCCAAACAATAAAACCTTGATTGAATATTGGAATGTAAGGATGTGATTGCTTGCCATTTTCTGGCCCTTCCTAAGATAACTTGTAATAGAATGCAGAGTAACAATGGGAATAGCAGGAAAAGGATTTTAGGATGTATTGTGGAGATGTTCCTGAAACAGATCACTGCACATTTGCTCGGTAAGATGCACAGTTAATTCTATCTTTGCATGATCTTCCCAGACAGAGGCCAGCACATCTCCTGCATAACGTGTCTGCTGTACAGAATATTAATTTTGCTTGTGGTCCTGGCAGGGCACATCCATACACAATGGAACTGAAGCTGCTCAGTTCCTTTCTAATTCTGGGCTGGGAGTTTGGTGAAAGAACGTTGTGTTCCTTTTTGTTAGAATAAAAAGTAGATCCACTAAAACGGTCAGGGCAGCCTGAAATGGAATCACTGTTGAGCAGAGACTTCTCAGCAAGCTGATCAAACATTGCAGTGCAAGAATATGCTCAGTTGTGTATCCAACCATAACCAAAGCTGGATTCCTCAGCCAGTTCCAGCAGCTTCCACTCAACTCCTCCCCTGCTGCCCCAGTTCTCCTGTTTCTTGGTCAGAGGACACTCCTGGGCAGTTGGATGTCTCTCCTTGTATCCATTCCATGAGTTTTTCCAGGTTGAGTGCTGCTGCCAAGGTTCCACAGCCTCTGTAAACAGGAGGTGAGTGGAGCTCTTCCTTCCCCAGCCCCAGGAAAGGAAAGCTTGTTTTGTCAGCCTGCCTGTGAATCTGGATAGAAACAACTGTTGGGCATGGGAAATGTCCCCAGGGAGATGGGACTGAGCCTCCTGCAGCTTCAGGCATTCCTTGGCACGCTGCCAGTTCTGCAGTTGTTCAAGTAAGGGGAATGTGGAAGTGGGAGCACAGAGTTTCTTGGCTAAAATCAAAATCCTTGCAAAAATGCAGAGGAACTGCACTTCCATTTCAGTGGAATGGGAGGTAAGAGCTTCCTTGAGATATCATATTTTAAAGCAGTTGTTGCATCTGCTCTGCCACAGTTCATAAAGCACTACAAATGACCAGTTTGAGGTGATTTAAACCAGGCTGGGATGGCACACAGGTGTGGTGTTCTGTGCACCCCATACCTCACACATGGACCAGGCAATTGAGTTGTGTGGAACTGCCTTGTTTATTGTACTGCAGGAGCACACGTTCTGTGCTGGGACTCACTTGTTTAGATATTGCTGGTGATTGTAATGTGCTGCTTCTGTGGCTATTGTTGAAGCTTTTACTTCAGGGCATACTTTATCTGCATAATTACTTCCTGACTGTTTGCTTTTGATCTGCTGGGGAATTCTTGTTTTCTTTGAATGTTCTGGGGCTCTGGCTATGATACAAAGAGTTTTGAAATGCACACCAGGATGACATTTGAGTGCATTTTAAAAGATGACAAAGGGCTCCAGAACTGCTTGGCTGTATTCAGCTCTTCAGTTCTTGTTTGCTGTTACCAGGGTTTGTCAATATGAGGTCAGGTGAAGAGTAGGCAGAGATTTTTCTTTTCCACTTTTTTTACTCTCTGCTTAGAAATGCCTTTCTTTACCTTATACTTATTTCCAGTAGAGCTCCACTGGTTAATTCACTGGAGCTCTAGATGGTTTCCTGGCTTAAAAGAGTATCTGTTTGGTTTGTTGGCATACACTGATGATCTCACAGGAGCAAGTTGTGTGGCCAAGCTGCTGTAGGTGGGAATAGATGAGATTAGAGGACTCCCCAGCAGGAATATCTGTCTGGATGCCCTATTGTATTACCCTTCTGTGAAGCTTGGATTGCCCTGGGCTTCCAGAGACTGTTGTTTTTGCTTCCTAAAAAGCAGTATAGGAAAGGGCAGCCCCTCTTTTGAGACGAAGTGATGGGCATCTTCATCTGTTGCTGGTGTTGTAGGCAGCATTTCAGTTTCTCCTTCCCCTCCTCCCCGGTGGGGAGGCACCCTCTGGTTCTCGCAGCACATTTGTAACTGGGAGGATCTGACATTTTTAAAGGCTTCCTGATGCCCAATATAAGCAAGGCTTTTTCTCTAAAGATAGTAATGTGGAATCAGAGCAAGTGGAGTGTCACAGCACACAGTTGTGTGTTTGCAATGACTGTTCCTTTCCTGCAGATAAAAGGCACTGCTGGGTTTTTCTGTGTTTCTCTCGAGCACTCAGAGGATAAAATGCTGTTTAGGATTTCCTGAGCAAGGAGAACAGGCTTTGTATTTGCTAGAAAGCTGCTAAATAGACTTTTCCAAGGAGGTGTGTCGTGTTCAAAGGTGTAATACATGACACAATCTGCCACCACAAGTGTGGAAGCTTATTCAAGTCTGCCACAGCAGGCTTTTTATGTCTTTATATGACCTTTGCAGTTAAACTCAGTTGCTTTCTTCTCAGCTGGGAGAAATGCTAAGTGTGTATGTTTGTCTTGAAGACTTTCTGTGCCTTTTCCATCTCTCCTAACAGAACTTTTGACTCCTGAAAGCCCAGCATACAACTAACATGCTGCTGCTGCAACCAAGGGCTAAAAACCTAGGAGTGTCCAGGCACCAGTCAGCAGTCAGTGGGATGTTTGTGGCTGTTTCCCTGTCTCATTGCAGTGCTGATGCCGTAACCGCAAGTGTTGTAGATGGAATGCACCGGTTACCAATATCTTCAGTCATTTTTATCCCATGGGTTTCTGTGCCACTTCGTGCATGTCACTGCAGGGATGATCATGAGGCTTTGAACACACAGAAACTCTTCCTGCTGCAGCCCGTGTTTACCTCCCAGGTTCCCGAACTCATGAGCCCTGGTATCAGATGCCGCCTGTGTCTGTGCTGTTTGATACACAACACAGGGTGTAAAGGGGAAATCTTTTATTGCTGTCTGAGCTCCAGCTGGGCTTTTCAAATTTTACTGCCACTGGTGCCATTGGTGGGGAATGTGCTTCATCCTAGAGATTGCTGGTGGCTGCAGATGAAGCAGGGCTAGCTTTACCTCTAGTGAGTAAATCTATAAAATAGTTAATCTTACTGTATTACAAACTGAACAAGTATTTTTTTAGTTTGTTTTTTTTTTTTTATTGCAATGCGTAATGGCAAATCACAGCAACAGTGAATCATCATTCACTGGGGTCATCTGGTCAGATGGTTCCTAGCAGGGCTTTTACACCAGGGAGAAGCTTCTGGCAAACTTATCAAAGTAAATAAATGACTGACAAGACAAATAAAAGCATCTACTAATCATGTTTTTTTACAGATCTACCGTGGTGGCTCCTTTTAATTCGTCAGAAAGCTTTGATTGGCAAACTCCCAGGAGACCACGAGGTTTGCAAAATAACAAAGATTGCCGTGATTCCACTTTCTGAAACAGAACCTCAGGACCTGGAGCTGGAGGTATGACTGTCCCCAAGGAATTCTGACCTTCCCCCTTCTGCTCCAGTGAAATCTGAATGTCAGAGAAAACTTAAATGCCTCTCGTCTGTTATTCCTGGTATAAGCAGGCATACTGAACATTTTGTGCTTTTTTTAAATAACATTTTTTGATTAAAAGTATTTTTTAAACAGAAATCACAAGTTCTGCTATGGAGGGAAGTTCCAGTAAAATTGCACCTCGATTTCATAAGGCTTATTGGGAATACAACACTGAACTAGGAGAAAGGATTTTTTTTTAATAGATGCTCTTGCTCTCATCAAGTTTTGGAATCTTAGTTCTAGAACTTGTTTATAGAATAACCAAGAGAGTAATCCCAATTTGCACTGTAACTTGGGGGGGAAGCTGAGGTGGGTCTGGACACTCAGGTCATGGCAAACTGAGGCATCCTCACAATCACAGGAGAAAGTGCCTTTATAAAAACAGTGAGAATGGGGCTCTGTGTAGAAAACTGTGTGTTCCCTGTATTTCAGACTGTGTCCCTTGGGTTTGTGAATGTCCAAGTCGTGATTTTTGTAGACTTTAATTAAATTTTTTTGGAACTTTTGGAAGAGTATCTAATTATTGGCTTTAATTCAATGTCATTATTTAGCTTTGCAAAAAGCACCACTTTGGGATAAACAAGCCAGAGAAGATAACACAGTCCCCAGATGACACAAAATTTCTGCTGAAGACTCTTACCCAAATTAAATCAAATGTGTCTGCTCCAAATAAAAAGAAGGTAAAGTTTTCCACTGTTTCCTTGTGTTGTTTTCATAATGTTTACTTTATAATTCAGAGTTTGTGATGGATGATCCAATGGAGTACTAAGACCTTAAAGAACTAGTGAAAAACTGCAGAATGTGGAACTACTGTCATGGTGCTCAGTTCAGTGTTTTTGATTTTATTGAGCTGTGGCAGTTCTATGATTTTTCATTTTGCAGTTACCTAATTTTGGCAGAATTACTGATAGAGTTCCTTCTTACCAGGATTACCTTCTCCTGAGATTCTAAAGTACAATTGTTCTGCAGAAGCATCTCTCTTACAGTTCCTCAGAGAACACCACACAACCCAGTGTCATCAAAATGCTTTTAACACAATAATGGCTTGGATTAAGAAATCCAAACAGTATTTATTAAAATTAGAATGGGTGGATGCGATATTCCTTAAACTCTTGAGATTGAAACATTCTGCTTAAATGTTCAGCTTTGAATGGTAAAAGCAATACTCTGATATTTCTGGGGATGATGTCCCTTGTGTTTATTATCTGTGCTGGGATTTTTAAGAGCCTGCTCCTCGATGGGAAGAGTTTGTCCTACAGAGTTAGAAATACCATTCAGCAAACATGGCCTGGAGTCTTTTTCACTCACAGAGAAATAAAAAAGCCTTTTTTTTTTTCTTTCAGATTAAAGAAAGCAAAGAGAAGGAGAGGCTGGAGAAGAGATTATTGGAGGAGTTGTTCAAAATGTTCATGGATTCCGACTCCTTTTACTACAGCCTGACCTATGACCTGACAAATTCTGTGCAGAGGCAGAGCACGTGTGAGAAAGCAAACCTATCCCTGTGGAGAAAAGTGAGTGTGTTCTGTTTGCTCCTTCCATCTGGCAGGTGGACGTGCTGTCCCACAATGGCTGTGCCCAAACTCACACTGCTGCAGCCTAAAGCAGCTGAACATCTTGCCCTGGAACAGCTGCAGTGCAAGGAAGGAAACAAAATCTGCAGCAGTGTGATTTGAGCTGATGAGCCCTGTGTGTCCACCTGCAGAGAATAAACAAGAGAGCTCTGGTGTTCTTACCAAAGGGGTTGCAAAACCTGCCCTTTTTTGTTTTGAACAGGTTGATGACAGATTCTTTTGGAACAAGCACATGATTGAAGATCTCATCAGCATTGATGTGAGTTTTTTTTTTATTTCTAACGTATGTTATGAGAATCATTCTTCAGTTTTAGTTGAAATGTTTGCTTAAGGCCTCAGAAGTTTGCTTAAGAACCTGCTTGGCAGACAGGTCAGGGTTGGGACTGTACCTTCTTTAAGCTGAGCAGCTGGCATTGCCTTCTTCCCCCAGCCTTCTGCTTAGCCTGGGATGGTTGTAATGAATGAACTTCAACTGAATTTAGAATTTTATTACTGTAAAGCAATGCAGAATAACTTGGTGTGATATGTTCTGAAGGTAAATTAGGCTGTGTTTGTCTGTGGAAGGGATGATCCCTGGACTGAGCTGAGCTTGATAATAAGGAGGAGCCAGAAAAGAAGTAACTCTGAATTCCAGAGTTTTCTTGAGATAAGACTTTTGTTTTCCATGGTGGGGAATAGTGTTTTCTCCTTAAACAGAGCAGCTGATCAATGTAAAAAACATTGTAGAACAAGTTATTCTGAGCAGCTATTCAGAGTAAAGAAAACATTTCCATTTCAAATCATAGAACCACCGTTCTATCTTCAATAATGATCTTCCTTCATTTGAAACTTAACTTGGAGATAAAGGATTAAGTTACTAACTACAGTTTGCCAGCTTAGACCAAGTCTTATGTTCTTTAAAGATGACAGCAGACATCTTACTTTATGCCCTGCATCTTTTTCAGTAATAATTTAACATAATCAAATGGTTATGGAGTCATAGCCATTTGCAGGGTAAACCTGGCTCCTCTGAAAAGTTGTGTCTAATGCAGTTTTACTAGTTGTGTTTTTCATGTTCTAAGATACCAGTGAATAACCCTGGGGAAATTTATATTTCAATTCTATTTAAGAAACTGGTGTTTTAGGGTGGGAGAGCCCTGAACCAGTTGATTTTAAAAAGGAAGTTTTAAAGAATTGCATGATTTTCTTCTGTCCATAAATAGCTGAGAGCATAGGAGGGCTTTTTGCCTTGCCTTGATTGAGCTTGCTCCATCTCCACAGAAAGACCTGAAGTTGTTTCTTTCTTCCTTCTGATGGAGGAAAAATGCCGGTACCACTTACAGAAATAAGACAAGGACATGGCAAAAATTTCTTAAAATACAAAAAGCACGTGAAGCAAATGTTTTATAAACATGAGAAACGGTAGAAATAATTGTAGGTGTTGTAGAACCGACAGGGATGTAAATGTGTCTTTTGTAACCTTCAGAATGCTGAGGTGGACTTCTGGATCATACCCATCATTCAAGGATTTGTGCAGATTGAAGAACTGGTAGTAAACTACAGTGAGTCTTCTGATGATGATAAGAGCAGTCCTGAAACCCCTCCTCAGGAACCGAGCTGCGTGGATGACGTCCATCCCACCTTCCTGGTGGCGCTCATCTCCCGCCGCAGCCGGCACAGAGCTGGTAGGGAAACAGTTCCAGGCCTTGGGATGGACAAATAATTCTTCCCTGTCCTTAATATCTTGGGAAAAAAGATTGAATCACTCTACAATTTACTAGGTCTTGTTCAACTCTGTTTTTTCAGAGTTTCTGCTTTTTATTAAGATATTCTCCATTGTGTCCAATTTTCCTACATAGTCAGGTTTTCAACATGCCAAAAAAAAACCCAAGAAAAAACCCCATGGTAAGCTTGCCCTGGTATGGGACTGACCTTTGTACCACTGCTCACTTCTATTGAATGCAGTTCCCAGGAACATTTGTCAGAACAACTTGGAGTAAATCCTTCAGAGTTTCAGGGTAGCAGCTAGTTTACAGTATGCCTTTTTCATACTAAATTGTCACGTAGATACAGGAACTGAACTGCAGAGGGAAAATTATTCTTCTGATTGCTAGTCCAGAGCACAAACTGTGTAGAACTTTCTCTCTTGACACAAAAAGATTCTTTTGATAAATTGATGCACTATTTTGAAGAATAGTTATAGGATTGTGTGTTTGATTAATTCTTTAGTACATACTTTTAGCTGAGAGTCCAATGTGCCTTTATTTCTGAAATACTGTAGTTAACTCCCCCCAAAAACCCCCCAGACCAGTTGCCTTTGAGGCTCATGGAAACACTGAGCACTAAAGTAAAACTTTATGCTAAATGGGACAGAACAGAAGAAATGTATCATTTAGGGTGGACTAGAGATTATCTTTGACTTTGTAGTGCTGCTCGTAGTATGTCAGTAAATTAACTTTATCCATACAGTCAAAATAAGTTCCAAGGAATAAACTGGGACAGGAGTGACTTCTCCCACTGATGATGGATTTTGGCTAGAGCCTTTGTCCTGTGTTAGTGTTGTCAAAACCAGCAACAAAAGTTACTAATGTTTAAGAGAAGCACTTAAATATGCCCTGACCATTTCCTTCCTGCCAGGAATGCGGTATAAGAGAAGAGGTGTCGATAAAAATGGAAACGTGGCAAATTACGTGGAGACAGAGCAGCTGATTCACGTTCACAATCACACTCTGTCCTACATCCAGACACGAGGCTCTGTGCCTGTTTTCTGGAGCCAGGTGGGATACAGATACAACCCCCGGCCTCGCCTGGACAAGAGTAAGTGTTTGGGTGGGACACACGGGATCTGAGTTCCCTTGGGACTCAGCTTTGGGAAGAGATGTTTACAGGGGGGTGTGGTGCACAGCTGAAAGGATTAAGCAGGCTTATTAAAAATTACATTTTAGTCCCATCTCCTCTGCACAACAAGCAGAATTTAGGAGTGGTGTTTGCTGCACACCGTAGTAGAACAGCAGTGTTGAAGCTGAGCAAATTGAAATGCCTTTGAAAGGAATTTTGTACAGTGTGTCTTCAGTGAAGCTGTCTTGGTTTTCCAGAGTGCAGATTTGGGCACAGTTTAGTACATCAAACAGGACTTGAGTTAGTGCTGAACAGGCTGTTTCTGTCTGACACTGCTCTGCCTTGCAGGTGAAAATGAAACTGTGGCCTGTTTTCGTGCACACTTTGAAGAACAGCTGAAAAACTACAAAAAGCAGGTGAGTGCTGCCTGATAAAATAGTCATCTGATGAAAATGCGGGGGAGGAAGGTTAATGCTTTTAGTCTGGGGTTTTTTTGTGGTGTGTTGTGTTTTTTAAGAAGCTTGTTGACAGTTGTAAGGTTGGTACATAAATAGAATTTTACTAGGTTTTGCAAATGTCCTTGTAAGTAAGCTCTAAAAAACAATAACTTGTGGGAATGTGTAAACCCTGCTTCTGTGTTCCTGTGCTGTGAATTCAGAGCTTCTCTGGGTTAAAGTTTGTGTAGGCAGGTGACTGTTAGAGCTCATCTGTCTTGGGTACAATCCAGCAAAGACTGGAACTTCAGCAAGATATCCTGCAAACCTTACAACTCTTGAGCTGTTTGGTATTGCATGGTGTACACATCTAAGATGGCAAATGTTAACTAATTGAAGTTTTGAACAGGTGATTATTAACTTGGTGGATCAAACAGGCAGAGAGAAGATTATTGGAGATGCTTACCTTAAACAGGTTCTTCTCTACAACAATGCAAATCTGACTTATGTTTCTTTTGACTTCCACGAGCACTGGTAAGAAACCTTTTGAAAATGACCCTTTGCATCTTGTTCTGTTAGCATGAGAGGAGAGTAGAAGGGAGGAGAAAACACTGTTGTTATTATTATTATTTCTGTTTCTGCATGGAACACTTTTAAACAGGAAGAATACATTTTGTAAACTGAAGCATGATAAAATGTGAAGTTTGGGTAACCAGGCATTGCTGTTTATCATCTTGTGTCTCTGACCTGTTAAATTTGCAGTTATTTATTGGGTAAATCTAATTTGTTACACATTCTGAGCAGGAGAGTTTGCTCAGACATGCTGTGAATGTAAAGCTGTGGCTGACCTGCTTTGAATTCTCCTCTACTTCTGTTTCTCTTTATTTTTCTATAAAAATATGATGGGTTCTTTCCGGACCCCGATGCTGGTTTTTCACTGTAAAATACCCCAGATTTTAATTTACTGCAGCCTGAGCAGTTGTGTTTTCCTGGCTCCCCTCTGCTGCTGCCATGCCCTGGGGCAGTGTCACGTGCCCAAGCATTTAATCTGCCCCACAGGCCTGCATTTCTCCTTCCCTCAAGCTGCCTTTGTGTGGGAGGCAGTACAGGCTCTAAACTGGTTTAATCTTCGTTTCCAACCGTAATCTAGGGATTGCATCTGGCCTGGGAGAGCATTACTGACTGAAAAAGTGTGTCAATAGTAGACATTGCAGAAGGGGATGGGGGAAGGGAAACCCCCGTCAAAATAGTGATGGCTTGTTAGTTCCCTGAATTGATTTGATATTTAATCTCTTGTTTAAGGCAGCTTTTGCTTTCATTCCTTCACTTTCCTCCTAAAAACTTCTGTAGCACCCAGGACTGTTTGTTTTTGCACTGTGAGTGTGAGTGAGTGGAGAACAATCCCCAGAACAACCTGCTGGGGCAGGAGGGGTGATAAGTGTAGGGTGTTCTCTGTACAGCCACTGGTGCAGGATCCTCCTCCCCGGCTCCATCTGTAGTCACTCCTTGTGACACTGTGACTGAGGTGAGGACAGAGAGAATGCTGGGATTAGCCAAAACACTATCTTTGTTAATGTTACAGATAAGATAAAATAATTGAAGTCACTGCTCTAATTCAAACTAACTTTTGTGAAATTCTGCATTTTAGCCGAGGAATGAAGTTTGAAAATGTCCAAACACTGACTGATGCCATTCACGATATCATTCTTGACATGAAGTGGTGCTGGTAGGTACTTAACTCTTCCTAAGGTACTATGGAAAATTTGTTAAAAAAACCAAACCAAACAAACAAACAAACAAAGAAAAAACCCCCAAACAAACAAAACCAACCAACAAACAGTAGATATTTGGAGGCCTTAATCTCATCATCGCTGGTGTGCTTTGTATTTCTTCTCTGGTGCCCAACTTGTGTGTCCCAGCTTGTGTTCTGCAGTGTTGGTGCTCTAGACACGTAACAGAAGATCCTCAGATGCTGATTGCTGCCCAGAGCTTGCTTCATTTGACACTTTCAGGGGTTGTATTTAATGTGGAACGCTCTGTATCTGACCCACAAAGCCTAGAACAGAGCCCTGTGTTGTAGGCATGTCTGAGCTTTGGTCTGCACTGGTTACAGTGACCTGATGGATGTGCTGCAGTCTCCAATCTGTTACTCTGATTGCTCAGTCAGATCTGCTGGCATTTCTGTTGGCTTCTCTGTCTGAAATTAAAAGCCTTTTCTCTTGAAAGCTTGTATTACATATGCCAGAGCTGAATTCAGCTGATTGCATCCTGAGTTTATGGCCCCACTAGGATTTATTTGATATCCAGGCTGGATTAAATGGAGAATGGGTCGGAACAAGAGGAGTTAATTCAGAGTGGGGCGTGCCTGGGTGGTGAGTGCAACCACAAACAGTGTAAAATCTGCTGCTGTTTATGGAAGCTGATGAATTACACTGCATTTGAAGTGTCTCAGTGTGCCTTTGTTCTCCTCCTGTTGAAAGGGTTGACCAGGCTGGAGTGATCTGTAAACAGGAAGGGATCTTCCGAGTGAACTGCATGGACTGCCTGGACCGGACCAACGTTGTGCAGGCTGCCATTGCCAGGGTGGTCATGGAGCAGCAGGCACGTGAACTGGGGGCTTTGCCAAGGACCTCAGAACTTCTTGTGATTCACAGAGGGATCTGTGGGCTTGAAAAATGCTAAACTAACCTCTACTGAAAAGAATCTTGGTGAAATACTCAGAGAGCTCTGAAGCTGAAAGGGGTAATATGTACAAATACAGAGCTGGAAATCACTGCAGAACAGGGATGCCCGCTGTCCTGCTGCAGAAAGGACTGACCACATCTTGAACAGGATTGTCCTGTTCTGATTTAGTAATTTTATGCAGTAATTCAAAGTTTAAAAACAAAACAGCACCCCCCAAAATCCCTCCCTGAAACAAGAGATTAAGGGACTAAAATCCAGGTAGAAGTTGGATGCTCTTTTAGCTGCTTTGAAGTGAAATACTGGGATGCAGCAAGTAGGGACTGTTGTGGGGTGGGGATTAGAGAAGGGATTTCCAAGCAGACTGAGGGTCCTGTTCCTCTTTGCCCTGCCCCCATTTGCTTTTTCTGTGGAATCTGGGATTGTCTTCCCTCGTGGAGGGTGAATGACATGGAGTGTAAGACTGAGAGTCACATGTGCCTTCCGTTTGCTTTCCTTGGAACCACAGGACTTGCCTTCTCTCATCTGGAAACTTCGTAGGGCTTTCAGAGTCAATGAACAACCTTGCCTCCATTTTCATCTAACTTGCAGAGAGTGCTTCAGCATTTGGGTTTGGTTGGGGATTGTTTGCCTGTGATCTGTTCCAAGTTATCCCTGCAGTTGGCCTAAGATTTGGTGACTGCACTGCAGTTATGGCTCTGCTGCTTTACCAATCCAGTGGCTAAAGTTTCTGTTGTGCCAAGGCTTTTATCCTGGGGAAACTGAAGTGCTGGTTGTCCTGAAGAGTGAGATACCTCACTTTCAGTATCACTGTTAAACAGTAACTGTCCAAAGTGTGCAAGCATTAATAATAAACCAACAAAAGAAGCTGGTTTTTATTTTCAGACCCTTGAGGTCACGGATGCCTTTGCAATAGAAGACATATTAACTTGTTTATGCACGTTAAAGTTCTGTAGTACCTGTTGTTTTGATGGTTCTCTGTTGGAAAATGTCCTGTATCCTGAGTAATCTACAGTAATTACAGCTCATTTTTTTTGCTGATTGGCTCCTACATTCATAATTAATATGTTAATGCTGCCTCCAGCGATACGATGCTTAGCACTGAACTAGCGATTCATTGCTCACAATTAATTTACTCTGACAAATCAGCAGAACGAGTTCCCTTTTCGGATCGTGTAAACGCTTGGCAAGCGTTTCCCTTCCGTTATCGAGCTCTCACACGGGGAATGGCTTTTACCTTGGACGTTTCACTAATGCACATGTCCAATTGCAGCTCAAAAAGCTGGGTGTGATGCCTCCTGAGCAGCCTCTGCCGGTGAAGTGCAACAGGATCTACCAGATCATGTGGGCCAACAACGGCGATGCCATCAGCCGCCAGTACGCGGGCACCGCCGCCCTCAAGGTAACTGCCCCTGATCTCAGGAGGACAGGAGGAGGCTGGCACAGCTTTGTGTGCTCTGGGAAACTCCCAAAGCTGTGCCTGGGTTGGTGTGGAGAGCTGTGAGGCCTCTCGGCAGAGTGCTCTGTCACGCTCGGGGTGGTGGGCACTGTGCCTGCCCGCTGTGCTGTGGCACCCTCCTGTCTGCAGCACAGCTGGGAGCAAGGTAGCCATCAAACACTGCCCCCAGGTAAATTACAGCAGGGCTGCTGACAGTCACAGTGCTTCAGAAATGCTCTGAAGATCAGAGTATGTAGCTAGTGGGGCGATATTAATTACCCGTGCTTTCTAAAGAATTAATTAGTTGTAATGCTCTTTACCAAGATCAGGCACGAAACTCCTCACTTTTTACTCCTGCTGCTTTGAAAAGTCACAGAATTTGAGGTGCTTGCTGTGTGTTTGGTCTTTGGTGGAACAAATTTTTAGTATTCTTTGTATTTGGCATGAGAAAAATGATTATGGTGGAAATGCTTCTGATATCCCTCTTTAAATATCTCTACTGAACTTTGATTCGTTTATTAATTTTAAAAAATAGTGAAAACCAGCCTGACATGCTTGTCTTCATTATGTATATTTAATTTTAAATCTGAAGCACAGACCTCCATTTATAGATCTGGATTTTCAGGCCTTCTGTTTGATGATTTCTCTAATTGCCATTGAGGTTCATGAATTAAATTCTTTTTAATTGGGGTGCTTCTTTCAGTTTGAAAGTGAAACCCACTTGAAATGTTCCTCAGAGTAGCTGACATGGCTTTTAGAACTGCTTTGTGCCAGTGTTCAGAGTGTCTCTGAAAATAGAACCCTCTAATGAAGTGCAACCACCAAACCAGCTTTTTATTCAAATTCGAAGCCTTCTGTGGCCTAGAAACTGGCTTTTGTTTCGAGGTTGGGAGGACGTGTACTCCTTTAGGGTGTTCTGCTTGTCCTGTTCTGGTAACACAAAGGATGAAACCATGTTTCAGTGAGCTGCAGTCTCTCTGCTGTTCCACTGGTGTTCCTGCTAGGTTAAAGGCCAAAAATAAAGGGGTTTTTGGGGTATTCAAGCATCGCAGTGACTGACATCTTGAATGTTCTTGTTAGCTGGTATGTATGTCCAGATTTCTGTCAATGCCACAAGCACATGCCCTTTGAAAAATCAGTATTTTCAACTTCTCTATGAAAGAGCTGCTTGTGGATAATTTCTGAGCTGTCACCTGTTCAGCCCTGAGTCTCAGAGTGCCAAAGCTTTGGGAGCTGAGCCTGCTGCTTCCAGGATGCATCTGTGCATGATGTGCATGTTCTGTGTGACAGGGGGACTTCACCAGGACTGGGGAGAGGAAGCTGGCAGGGGTGATGAAGGATGGAGTCAATTCTGCCAACAGATACTACCTGAACCGTTTCAGGGATGCCTACAGGCAAGCAGTCATAGGTAAGAGTACAATTCTAACTAAGCTGAACTGTGCTATTTAGAAAAGTTTATTAAAATCGTCTTGGCTTTATCTTTTGACTGATTTTTTTTCCCCATCCTGAATTTTAAAAGCACCTTGGCTGTGTATAATGTTCATGTCTGTGTGATGGGCCATAAGGAACAGTGATGCTCCATTTGGAGATCAAACAGCCCTCACTTCAGAGGGTTTGCATGCAGTGTGACTCATCGTGGAATTTGCCCCTAACTTTGTTTCAGCATTAAATGTCTTGGTGTCTCTTTTTTTAGACTAAATTAAATTTATGTAGCTGGTGTCTCTTAAAATGTTTTTCACTGAAGGAAGTGTAATACCTCCTGAGGCAACACTGTATTCAGAAAGACCATGAAGAGCATCATCAGTAAATATGAAACATTTGGAAGGAATTTGCAGTCTGTCCCTTCTAACTTCCTTTCTTGTTTGGTATTTTCTGGGTTTCACTTAGATTTGATGCAGGGCATCCCTGTGACAGAGGATCTGTACTCCATATTTACCAAAGAGAAGGAACATGAAGCCCTGCACAAGGAGAGCCTCAGGAGCCACCAGGAGCTGATCAGCCAGCTGCTGCAGAGCTACATGAAGCTGCTCTTGCCTGATGATGAAAAATTCCATGGAGGCTGGGCACTCATTGACTGCGACCCAAGGTGTGTGAACAGTCAGAACTGCTCAGCTGCTGCTCTGCCATGCCCATCACTGCTGATGGGAAATGACTGTGATGGCTGGGCTAGCACAACACCAGTGGACAGTTGCACAGAATGACAAGAGTCCTTGGAGGGTTTGAATAGGTGCAGTTGTAGAAGAAAAGCTCCTCTAAGATGTGCTTTTCCCAAAGTGCCATAGAAGTGGTGCACCTTTGGAACATCATGTGGAAATGCCTGCAGTCAGTTCATGTTGCCAGAACTGGCAGGTACCACAGAGAGAACTTGTAACCACCCCTGGTTCTAGGAGGGGCTGTTTGAGGAGCTGCTGTTCCTTATTGCTGCACAGGGAAAGTGTGACCTGACTTTGGAGCCAGATTAAATTCTTGGGGCATGAGTCAGCAGTAGGACAGTCTGGATTTCTCTTTGTGAACAGTGGGCATGAACTCACTCTCCCCTCCTTATCGAGTTCAGAGTTCACTAGTTTGTAAAAGAGAAATAGTGCTGAGATCCTCTGCAGGTTAAACTTCAGCATCTAAAAATAACAGGGCAGGTTGTTCTGACAGCTATTCAGGGCACAGTCTCATCACCTTCACTGAGTCTGAGGTATTTTTCCATTTATCTGCTGGCATTTATAATAGCTTGAGGCTTTTCTGTTTATTTTTGGGCCTTCTGCTGACCTATTTGAGCTATGAGGCAACTTCAGGTTTGGGAGAGAGCGTTGCTTACCTGGATCCACTTCTTGTAGGTGATCCCACTTTGGCTTGGGAAGTGGCCACCCAACACCTGACCCACCTGGCTGGGTTTTCCAGTGACTCTGGGCAGGCAGCAGCACCACAGGAGATAATGCCATGTTTAACAAGTGTTGGATTCTAAAGGAGTGTCCCCAAACTCCCCAGGCATGGGTTACACAGCTCTGCAAATAAAACCTTGTCCCCTGTATTTGTTTTTCCTCCCTCTCCTCAGCCTCATTGATGCCACTCACAGGGACGTGGATGTTCTGCTGTTACTTTCCAACTCTGCCTACTACGTGGCCTAGTAAGTCCCTGCTCTCTCTCTCCCTGTGTGGGGTTATTTCTGGGAACTTGGATTTGGATCAGCAGGAGGCATTCAATTCTGTTTCTGTTCTCCTAGTTATGACGATGAAGTCGACAAGGTGAATCAGTACCAAAGGTTGGGCCTTGAAGCTCTGGAAAAAATAGAAATAGGTAAGAAAATAGTCACGCTGTGTCATTTTTGAAAGCTCTGAACAATAGCTGAGCCCTCATCAAAGCATCCTGCAGATGGATTGAGGCAGCAAGCCTTGATGTGTGGCACAAATGCTGGGCAGTCCACCAGGGCTGGAGATGGCCTTTCTTGCTCATGACAGGTGCCAGTCATCTGTTCCCTCCCAGGAACAGCTTTTGCTGCTGCTGGAAATGGAAACTTTGATCACTGCCAGGGTTCTAAAGTTTTCCCTCTTTCAGACTCTTAAAAGAACCACAGAATCATCAAACCCAATTTCATTATTTATCAAACAACTTGATCAACTTCTGTAATGAGTCACAGGTTTGTGCATTCAGTGCTCTCTTTCTTTGATCCAAAAGCAGCACCTGGCTGGGAATTGTACTTTAAATCTGTTTCATAGCTTTTTAAAACTTCCTTCTCAAGGCTTGATAATAAACAAGCTGCTACAAAATCACCTTGTTATGCTCGTTTAACTTGGCTATAGAATGTACCATCTGCAGGCTAAATCCAGCATTTGCTGCTGAAACAAGAAAAATGGGATGTCTTTGACTCTTTGCAGATGAAAAGATGTTCTAGTTGGAGAGAAGGGAGGGAAATTGTGTGGCCTCCTGATAGAGTTTAACCTTCCGTTGCACAATAGGCAGTGATTTCATCATCTCCTGGCTGTAACTGTCCCTGTCCCTGTGCAGTTTGCAAGAGTTCAGTGGCAAGGGCTCTTACACAGCATGTGGAGGTTTGTAACACATCCTGATGCACAGGATGCAGAAACATCTTCATCTACAGCTTGTTTGCTGCTGTAGATGCAAGCACTGCACTCAAGAGCACTGACAACTTCATTGCACCCACCTGGTAGAAATGTGTCAGCTTTCCCTGTAACCCTGGCCAGAGCATTCCCGAAAAAACCACGGCATGTAGGTGGTGGAAAACTTCCTTCTTCTGTTTGGAAGGGTGATGTGGTGTAAACCATCAGGCTGGACTGTACTGGACACACAGAGAATCTGTGCTGATTGTTCAGGCAGAGTCTCTGCAGGGTCTCTTCAGGGTCTGGTTGAAGATGTCTGATCTGATTTCTCTCTCAGGGCCTGAGCCTACTCTCTTTGGCAAACCCAAGTTCTCCTGCATGAGGCTGCATTACAAGTACAAAGAGCAGAGTGGGTATTTTCACACCCTCAGAGCTGTGGTGAGAAACCCAGAGGAAGATGGAAAAGGTTTGTTTTCCTGTGGGAAAGCTTAAGACATAAAAGTGTGTTTGGTATCCCACTGTTTGTCCAGGAAACACTTGTTCCATGACCCCTAAAATTTACCCTTCTGCAGAAGTGACTCTGATACAATCCAGCTGGGCAGGGTGGGAACCATAAAAACCCCTCTGTGTGGCTTCCTGGGTGAACATGTGGATGTTACTGTTTGAATAGAAAGACAAATAAGTTCCAAATATTTCCCTGTCCATTTACTGCTCCAAAACCTTCTAAAATGAAGTCAAAATTAGCTCCTAAAAGAGCTGAAGAAATCGATTTCTTTGGGGAAATCAGTGTCTGGAAATGTTCTTGCTTGTTGTTTAACTAGATTAAATGAACACTAATAAGGGGAAAAAACATCACTCCTTACCTGGAGCACTGAGTTTTGTCAGCGAGGATTAGAATAAATATAATTGCTTCTCTTCTTCCCACAAATGAAGCAGCGTGGCAGTGATTCACTTAAACCCCAGCATTTAGGGATCAAGGAGAGTCTATTCTTTAAGCTTATTTGAAAGCTTGAACTCTGAACTGCAACTTGTAGGGTGAAAGGAAAAAAAACCCTCCAAAAACCCAAACAAACTTAATTATGTTAAAAGTAGACTTCTTTCTCTGTAGATTGTGGGATGTGGGATTTTAGGGGTGTTTTTAAGGGTCTGACAGGCTGCTCTTGGATTTCAGACACTCTCCAGTGCATTGCAGAGATGCTGAGAATCACAAAGCAGGCGATGGGACTGGATGTGCCCATCATTGAGAAGAAGCTGGAAAGGTGAGTCCAGAAAGGATGGGAACCTCCTGTATCCACTTCTGCTCTTCCCAGGGGCAAAGCACAGCATGTGGTGGCTGCAGGAAATGTCTGGGCTGTGTGTGGGGCTGTGACGTGTCCTGTGCTGCTCCCAGTGACGGCAGCAAAAGGTGTGGGCCAGAACAGTGTTTTGTGTGTGCGCTCGTGGGCACAACTGTAAGAACATTCTGCAAATCACATGCTTTGGGAGCAGTTGGTGCAGTTTTTCCCACCTGAACACAATGTCTGCTCCTGTGGTAAGTCAGGGTTACAAAAATAGAGAATTCACATCTCTTTTCTGGTAAAATTAAAGTGCCTGCAGAAAGAGGCTGCTCCTTGTTTGGTTACTGTTCTGTATCAACCCTCCTTTTTTTGCTGGTTTGAGCTTGATTAGCTTATATGGTGCAATATTATGTAAGGAAAGGATTAATTTCGTTTATTTATGTGAGGAAAGGATAACTTAGTAACTCAGTGTCCATCTCTGCTGTGGAGATAGACTGGAAGTCAGTGAATACTTGGTATTTATAAAAATGACTGCTTTGGCTGTACATTAGAAATCCAGTTTTGTCTTGCAGGAAGAGCAGTAAACCCCACGAGGACATCATTGGCATTCGCTCCCAGAACAGAGGCTCCCTGGCCCAGGGCAAGAACTATTTGCTGAGCAAGTTCTCCTCCCTCAATCAGAAAGTGAAACAAACCAAATCCAACGTCAACATCGGCAACCTTCGCAAGCTGGGCAGCTTCGCTAAACCAGAAGTGAAAGTCAATTTTTTGAAGCCAAACTTGAAAGTGAATCTCTGGAAATCAGACAGTAGCCTTGAAACTCTGGAGAACCCAGGGGCAGATCCCAAAGCCCAGACCGAATCTGACACAGAGGGCTCAGATAACGACTCATTCCATTCCGACGACTTCCTGACTAATTCCAAGTCGGACGAGGACAACCAGCTCACGGACTCCCTGGAGAACATCGGCCCCACGGACTACGTGCTGCCCAGCTGCGGCATCCTGGCCTCGGCCCCGCGCCTGGCCAGCCGCTCGCAGTCCCTGAGCAGCGCGGACACCGCCGTGCCCGAGGGGCAGGGCTGGCAGGAGGGGCAGGGCTGGCAGGAGGGGCAGGGATCGCAGGAGGGGCGGGGATCGCAGGAGGGGCAGGGCTGGCAGGAGGGGCAGGGCTGGCAGGAGGGGCAGGGCTGGCAGGAGGGGCAGGGATCGCAGGAGGGGCAGGAATCGCAGGAGGGGCAGGGATCGCAGGAGGGGCAGAGCTCCCAGCCTGGCCGCTCCCACTGCCAGGACGAGGACGCGGCCGCGCCCTCTGGTGCCAGCGCACTCGGGGAGCTCCCCAAGCCCATCGATGTGTACTGCCAGAGGTTCGTGCAGGATGCCCAGAGCAAGGGCTCCGATGTTCTGGAGGCTCAGGCTGGTTCTCAGCAGCCCCACGGCCCCGCGGCCCACAGCAGCAATAACGCGGCACAACCCAAGGCTGAAGCTGTGGGGGACGTCCCTTCCCGGCCCTCCAAGCTGGATGTCCGCTCTGCTGAGCCCAGCCCTCAGCTCCTGGCTGTGGGTGGGACCGACTGCAGTAAATCCCATAGGAGCCCCGGCTCTGTGTGTGGGAACCCCGAGCCAGGACTCCACAGCTCTCCCTCTCCCGCCGAGAGCAGCAGGGCCGTGTCCCCCTTTGCCAAGATCCGCAGCTCCATGGTCCAGGTTGCAAACATCACCCAGGCAGGACTGACTCAAGGCATCAACTTTGCCGTGGCAAAGGTCCAGAAGAGCCCTGCGGAACCAGAAGCTTTAAATGAAATCAAACAAAAAGAACTGAGGGAAATGTTTACGCAATGCCAGACCCGGATAATTCAGATCTAGTTGCTGATTCGGGAAGTGTTCTTCTGGTTGTGGCTCTCAATAAAGTGCTACAAAAACATGATGGCAGGACTCATGGTGGCAAGAACAGCTGCTGGATACTGGGATCCATAAGAGGTAACTTGTTTACAGGCAGTGAGAGATGCAGATGGATTTGGCTGTGACCAAGCAGCAGAATTCCCTCCCGAGGTGAGACACAGCGGTGAACCCCCCATTCAAACAGGTAGCTTAGACACTGGGACTCAGTAAGCATGCTGTCTATCTTAGATGTGTTGCACAGTTATTTTTTGGAGACTAATTTTGTAGCTCTTCTGAATTATGTAGAAAGTATTTATACTACAAAGGTGATACTGCACTTCTCTGACCTTACTTACCTTGCACTACACCAGCAAAATAACCTACCGGTAAAGGACATTTTATTTATTTTTGGACTAGAGTTTTTACTTGTTTTCATTGAGGTTTTAGATGCAGCTTTCTCTGAATTGTGCCTCTACAACGGGAACCGATGAGTTTTTGTTGAATTTAAATACTTTACCCAGAAAGTGAGATTTCTTTGCTATCCTTTTCTTTCCACCCATCCTGGAACACTTTCATTAAAGACTCAGTCTGAACTATCCACGATCCTGCAGTGCAGATTTCTTCTGGAGATTGGTTCTTTTTTTCCTCCCCTGAGGTGAGGGGAAATGAAGCAAATGCCCTCAAGCTGTTTTGCCCACGTTAAAGCAATTCTTATTTCCTTTTTTTCTGAATTCCAAACTCTGCCAGTTCATTCCAATTTTCTGTGTCTGTTAAAGCAAGACAAGACACCTGCCCTTCAGGCCTTGTGTCCCTCTTGAAACTGTTCCAACTGCCAAGTCCAGACAACATCTGAAGCAGCAGGCAGGGTACTGCTTCCATAATCAGAGCAGAGTTGGGAGCATCCACCCCAGACCAAATTCATTCCCTGTTCCCAGGATAAAGCTAAACATCAACTCCTGCTGGGATAAAAACTCCCCTTCTCTGTGTGTGTCAAAATCCAGCCCAATGCTCTTTCCCAGAAATGCCTTGCCCTGCCCTGCCAGGAGCTGATCCCAGAGCTGCTGTGAGGCAGGGCCTCCCTGTGCTGTGCTTTGTGACTGTGACACCCCCAGCCCCGGTGCCTCTGTCTCATCCCTGTGCTGTAGATAATCTGCACGTGGTGTCCCCACAGCCTCCTGTCCTGCGGGAGGGTAGTTCTGTGTCTTAGGACCTGTAGTGTGTCTGAAACGACTTCTCATCTAACCCTGACAGCCTGAAACTTTGATAAACAAATTTATTTATTTTATTAAAGTGATGTGGGTTTGGGTTTTTTTTTTTTTTTGAGTGTCTATACTTGTGGCGATATTTAAAATTAAACTACTGCTGTATTTTAATGTGAGCAATATACATGAGATATTTTAATAAAAAAAGTGCAATCAAAGGCTGGGTTTGGTACGTGATGTTGAGGGATGTGGTGCTCCAGGGCTGGGGGTTGTCAGGAGTCCCAGAGTGGGTGCAGTTGGGAGTGCTGGAGGGCATCATCCCCCTGCTCAAGCAGGACCACCTGAGCTGGACTTCAAAGATCATCCAGTGCCACCCCCTGTCCTGGGCAGGGACACCTTCCACCAGCCCAGGTCGCTCCAAGCCCCATCCAGCCTGGCCTTGGACACTTCCCAGGGATGGGGCAGCCACAGCTTCTCTGGGCAACCTGTGCCAGGGCCTGCCCACCCTCCCAGCCAGGAATTCCTTCCCAATATCCAACCTGAACCTGCCCTCTGGGAGCAGCCATTGCCTCTTGTCCTGTCACAATCCCTCCTTCCAGCTTATGAACTGTCCCCTACTTACACATGGAATCCTGGAGATGGCAACACGCACAGAACCATCCTCTGAGCCCATCTTACAGCTCTGCATTCCAGCCCTGCTGCCTTTGGAAGAGAACATTTCCCTCCTGGATTTGCTTGGTTGCTTCACTTCACATAAGGCAGATGAAGCCATGAATATTCATTTAGTGATGAAAAAAAAAGGAATAAACTTTAAGTGAAAGGCCATCAAACTTGGCTCAAGTTTAGGATACACAAATATTGTTTCATAATACTCTTTGTGCAGAGACAAAATGTGTAGCCTGGCTGTGCAGCAGCCCCCTCATAATTAGAACAGGAAAAAAGCAGCAAAAAAAGAGGGTTCCTGTTCACATGATCTCAGCCATGCAAAAACCCCAAGGAAAGGTGCTCTGAGCTTAATGGAAACTTGGCCTTTTTTCTTGTTCAGGAAAGGATTAATTGAAGCAAAATGTAGCAGTGGCTCCATCCTGGGCTCCTGCAGGCTGTGTCCACACAGGCAGCCCTACTGACTGCAGCACAGCCTGTGCTGCTTCGACACTTCACTACCTCAACCACCCTTGTTAAACTAATTCTGCAGGTGCCATCTGGGGCGGCACAGCCCCTGAGAGCAGCTCAAATGGACAGGAATAAGGGATGCAGACCATTGTTAATGCTTCAGGGATATTATTCCAACCCTTATCCACACTGCAGTGCTGCTGGGGGAAAGTAAGCTATGGTTTGGACAAGGATGTGTCACCAGTTCTACAGTCAATGTGGGTTTTTTTAAGAAGTTGTGCCAAAACAAAGCTCATCAGAGATATTTGAGAAGTGAGTCCTGTTCTGCTCTAAGCACAACAAAGATGGATTTCATAGCTGACCTGGTCAGGGGTGAGATCAAACCACTCCACTGTGCTGCCTCAGCTCACAGCACCCACAGCTCCATGCTGAAGTCAGCACCTCCCGCAGCTGCAGCTCTGGCCAGCTGGGAGCTCTGAGCCTCCCAATCCTGCCTTCTGGAATTGGAGCAAAAGAGGAATCCCAGAGCAAAGCCCAGCACGGCTGTGGACCGAGGGCTCGGGGTTACATTTTCTCATTATCAAAGGAAATAAGTTTATGCAACTTCAGTATTAAAGTTTAATATCAAACAATTTGCTCATTGTTACCAATTTTCAATTACAAAACAGGGTCCAAAAAAATTCCATAAAATATGCTGAAGTGGCTGAACAGAGTTAAGCGTGTTCAGGCTGCGAGGGTAAATATCCATAACTTTTTTGGTATAAATTATCTACAAAAACTGGTATAAACAATATTCCAATCTTAGTCTGGGTTCCACCTAGGATTAGACGAGTTTTCAAGGTGTTAAAGTTCGTTGCCATTGACACATTTCTGCTGCTGCAGCCTGGCTTTGCGCTGGGCCTCCAGCTGTTTGGCTCTCAGCCACCTCTCCCTCGACAGCGTCGTCTGCCCCGCGCTGAGCGACAGGAACCTGGGGGGACACACAGGGGGGTCAGGGCAGAGACCAAACCTGCACAGCCCCACCCCACACAAAGGCAAATTTAACAGTATGGTTGACTTTGAGATCTCTAAGCTGTAACTTCCAAGAGTTCCAAACCACCTACTGCGTCTGAAGACGCTTCTCTAGGATTAAATTTCGTTCCCAACTTGGCTATAAGAAGTTAAGAATGTTTACTTTTTTTTACTCTAAATTCAGTAGATAACATCACACCAAAAAGGAGATAAAATTAACAAGCCTTTTTTTATCTGCAGCTCTTAATACCTACAATATTATTTGTCACTGGATGCTGAGGGTTTTTTTTGACATTATCGACAAACATTTTAGAAAAACTACAAACCAGCACAGTAAGTTTTCCCTCAATGGGAGCTTTTCATGTTTTGATTACTTTTTTTTTTTTTGGAAACAGACAATGTATAGTTTGTTACTCGTTTTACTTGAGTGAAATCTTGTAACTTTCCTAAAGCAGAGTAACAAAAAAACACTCAAGAGCGATAGAGTAATTTCAATGAACAATTTATAAGAGCAGGTTTCTCAAGGCAGTATGTTTTCCTTGCAGTATCCTAGGAGGTATCCAGCTGCAGAGAGCAGCTCTGTGGGAAGCCTCAGGCAGGACAAGCAGCAGCACCCACCTTGCCACGAGCAGTGTCTTGTGCAGATCATCGGCTGTGATGCTCTCGGGGTCGTTCTTGCGCATCTCCACAAAGTCCTCCTCCACTGCCTGTGGGCAGCCAGCAGTTAGAGAGAGAACACAACCCCTACCCAGAGTGGAGCTTGCAAAGAGCTCAACACCTCAACTGCCTTTACGTGACATTCTCATCTTGGAACAGAACTGGTTTGCAAAGGGAACAGTACATGTCCTGTTTCTCATTTGTACTATACTTATTTCAGTGGATACTTGACAAACCCTTGACATGAAAATACTTCTGGTTTGGTTTTCAGAACACCTGAAGGAGATTCATCAACAGGGAAAGTACAGGAACAGTCTGTTAAGGTGCCTTCTATCCAGCTACACAGTTGAGAATGTGTTAGTGGAGTCTTCCCTACCTTGGTCACCTCATCAGATATGCTGTAGTCCAGCAGCCTCAGCAAACTCAGGTAAATTCGGAATTTGTTGAGCACAGACGGGAGCACTGCTGTCAGGAGGCTGCTCATGTACTCCTCCATGTTTGGTGGGATTATCTGGGGTTGGAGGTGGACTTGGCAATCTGACTGGAAGATAAAATCACACACCATCTCTTGCCACATCCCACTGTTTTCTATTCCCAAACCAATTTACTCCCGAAGCCAACAGAAGTCCTTTCCCAGAATTAAGGTCAGACAGTTCTTTAAGGTGCAGCCTCGCTGTGAAGCAGCAGCCAGCTCCACTCGGGCAGGGAAGCAGAGGCTCAGCTGATGGAGCTGGAGTGCCAGAGATCAGCTGTTTGCTACCCTGGGCTCCCCGGGGGCAGTGCCAGCTCTGGGGCTCTGGGAGGGGCCCACACCTGCAGCCTGTGCCCCTCCCTGGCACTGCCACTGCCTGCCACCCCTGCTGTCTGAGGAGGAGGCAGCACCACTGCCACTGTCCCACGGGCCCTGGGGATCATCTGCACTGGGCCCTGGCAGGGCTGCTCTGGGCAGGCAGTGCCACCTGCATTCCCAATCCCAGAGCATCCCCTGCTCCCGTACCGGCAGCAGGGACCGGCCCTCCGAGGTGATGAGCACATTAATGTTGCAGGGGAATTCCATCCGGTGGTAACTGAAGTCATAATCCACCTTCTGCCAGGTGATCAGATTGCCCAGCGCCGTCACGTTGTGGACACCTGCAGTGTGGGAACAAACCCCTGAGCACAGACCCAAACAGATACAGTCACACCTCAATCTTGGTTCAATCTGCCTTTAGTCAGCAATTCCTGCAGCCTTCCTGCTTCTTCGGGGTCTGTGGTGTCTTCCAGACAGACACCACCATTTCATGAGATCCAAACTAAGGATTCCTAATTTCCAGTCTAAATTTGATCTGGTTCAGTACATGTGTTCACAGCTCACCTTTTTATCAGCCCTGCAAAGCCAGGCAACTATTTCCAGTGAAAAACCAAACAA